TTGTTGGTGGCGACGAAGTAGGAGAGGATGCATTGGATGAAGCGTCTGAGGTCCTCCACCTTTCCGCTGAAAGGTTCGGGAGCGGGGATGTCAAGGCGAAGGGGTCGGTTGGCAGTTGACTGTTGGGATTGGTATGCTGCGAGGGCAACAGCGATGCGCTGGTCAATGTCTGCTTGAGTGAACGTTGCCATAGGGACTTCAACCGGTGCGTTGGTTGGTGCAGGTGGAGCTGGTGGTAGTTCTGGAGCCTCGATGGGAACGTACTGAACGTCCAGGAGCTCGAACGGTTGTTCGTTAACAGGTGACTGTAGGTTCTCTGTTGTTTGTGCTGGTTCGACGTTGATTCGTAGGATGGTGAATACGTCTTCTGGGTGAGCGGGAGGGTGTCTCTGGTAATAGCTGACAAGCTGTTGATGGGCGACGATCTGCGGGTTGGAACCTTCTGCGCGAACCCAGGAGCCACCTCGAGGATAGATGGGAGTCCTTCTTGTGGTGGTGACGAAGCAACGGTCTGCTCGGTCGTACTGGAGAAGGGGAGATCCTGCGAGGGCTGGTAGTCCCAAGGGAACCGGGTTTACTGCGTTGTTCAACGTGATGGTGGATGAGTTGTTCGACTAGGTGAAACTAGGAACGTAGCTTAGAAAGTTCGACCTTTTGATACAACGGTCTATACTCCTATATCGACGCCTGACTCATAGATGACGAGCGAGGACTTATGGACAGTGCATCGTCCTGAAGATCGAGCGAGGAAGTCGAGAATGACCACTACTCCAAGCGAAGAGGAGCAGAGACTTGAATGAATAACCAGGTCGAACTTAGGGTTCGACCGACTAATGGTACAACTACTTATACAAGTACCGACTGCGCACGGACCATCGTGTCTATGTGGTCGTGTTAGTGAAGAAAGAAACGTAGTGGTACGATACCAGGCACGAAGTGCGCACGGACCTCATTATGTAAGCTACATAATGTTCAACCGGCGGGTGAGCACTAAGACAGGCGCCAGTATGGGCGCTAGTAGTACAAGGAATAGAACGGAAAGACAAATGTTTCATTAACGACCTTCTTCTTGATTTCTTCCTCAAACAGCTGGGAGTACGTATGCCCTGCTGCGACGAACAGCTGGGGGGCGCCAGGAAGCGTGATGCCTTGCTCCCAGGCTTCGATCAAGTCGGCTTCGTCCCACTCAACGTCCACCAGTTCTTCTTCGGGTTCCGGATCCGGCAGTACCTTACTCCGGCAGGCACCTACAGCCGACCGTTTGGACTTCGGCGAACGCCTGCGCGCCGTGGGCCTGACCCCCGTATCACGCGCAGTCGCTGCTTGCTCCATTCGGCCAGCTTTCCTGGCACTGCACGTTTCAGGACACCGGGACAATTTGAGGGAACCTTCTTTCCAATCGATTTCGGGGTTGTGCTCGCGTAGCCAATCCAACCCGATGATCACATCTTCTGGACCGATGTCCGTGACCGTAAACACTGTTTTTTCGACGTGTTCTCCTATCTGCATCTGTAGCACTGCTACTTCCGAGATGCTTCCGTCCTTATTCAGGGTGCCGTCGATATTATAGAGCGGAATGGGCTCCTTTAGCAGCCGCGTCTGCACCTTATTCTCTACGATAAATCGCTTGTTGATAAACTTCGTGGTGGCTCCGCTGTCCACCATGGCGATTATGTCCTTGTGCCGTCTTTTCCCTTGGAGTCGAACTGGAATGTGAAAGTGCTGGGACCCCTGGTCCAACTCGTACACCATTGCAGAAGACAATACATCGTACTTGTTACATGATACTCGCGGCCCGACGCGTGCAGCACGAAGTGCGGACCGGATCAAAAACCCTCTTCCTTCATCGCCCGATAGTGCTCGAGCTCCTCGCGCATCGACTTCACCTGTGCCATTAAGTCCGCCAGCTCCGATTGCTCGGATTTCGCTGAAGCGGCACTTATCATTGCCGAGGGTGATGTCGTGACGGGGGCGCTTGTCGCGGCCTGGGTGGAACCCGAGGCAACCGTAGCCCGCATGTTGGCGCGTTTTGTGTAAGGCTTGTCCTTACAATTGGGACACTCGAAGCATCGGTACCCCTTCTTCCCACAGCCAAAGCATTCGCCTGGGAAGTTGCCTTTTCCGACGGCAGCATTGATGCTGGCCGAAGCTCCATGTGACTGGGGTGCACCACCACGTGCCCCACCGCGTCCTCGACCCCGAGCCGAGAAGAAATTGTTCAACTCAGGCCGGTGGGCCCGGCTGATGTCGAGGATCTGCTCGACCTCCGTGGCGTGCTTGTTAGCATCTTCCCACGTAGCGAACGTCTCGAGCTCGATTTTGCGGTAGACGCGGGAGGGGATGCCGCTCAGGTACTTGTCGCGTAGCTCCAGGTCGCCGTACCCGGAGCGGTCCGCCGGACCCTTGAACAGCGCGGAGAACTCCGCAGCAGTGCGTTTTTCGCGGACTGACTTGTCCGCGCAGAGTTTGGCCAGCTCTACCTGGGCCGCTGCCTCATCATCGAGGTTGCCGAAGCGGGCTTTGAAAGCCGTGGCAAAGGCCGCCTCATTTGCGAAGGGGGTCGTTACTCCTTGAACACCGAGTTGCACGGATACGAGTTGGGCGAAGAATGGAGTGGCCCAGGTGCGGGCGTCACCGTCGAGCAGGCTTAGCGTGACCTGCACCTGGAGTTCAATGGTGGTCAACGACGTGTTGACCAGCCAGTAGATGCGCAGCTGTGACAGGAACCTATCGCATTCGATGACGGTTTTGCCATCATATCGGAGGGGGAGGAGGAGCTTTAGGGTGTCCTTATCAGGGGGGGATGCTGGTGAGGACATTACCGGCGACGAGGGGGACAGAGGACTGCCCGCGGGCGAAGATGGCTGTTGTGACTGTCCGCCGGGCGAACTTCGAGAGGAGCGAGTGCTCGAGCGGCCTCGCGGCGGCGACGGCGGTGGAGGCGACGGAGGAAGTCTGGTGGCGGGGTGACGTACGACAGGGACTAGAGTCGAGGACGAGATTGCTGACGAGCTGGCCCAAGTAACCGCTGGACTGTTGCGGGGCTCAGGCTTCGGGTTCCTTTCCAACCGTGACCCCAAGGAGGACTGGGGGATTGTTTGAGGGGTCGCTGTAGACTGTGCGACTGCCTCAACTCCTCGAGGGAGACTGGGATCTCCTCATGCTTGACCTGTACTGGTGACAGGTTGGGGGATACAGGTGCCTGGGGAGGCAGGTCGGGAAGGGACGGGAGTGACGTGGCGAGATGTGGATCTCGAGGTGCCAGCGTATCGAAGTGCCGGGCCGCTGGGGTGCTGGACTCGTCGGATTGGCACGTAGCGCCCTTCGTCGGTAGTGATGGACCGCGGAGTACGATTAGGGCACGGTTGTCGATCACAGATGAAGAAGGGAGCTTGATTCCCGTCGCTTTCGGGGTCATCGCGGGAGACGTCGATTTGCTCCTGGGTGTCGAAGGCGTGCTCAAGTCGAGAGCAGTCGAAGAATTCGTCAGCCACGGTGATGGGGGGAGGAAGGGGAGGTGCGCGTGCTACGAAAGGCCGTGTTAGACTAGCTTACACCTACGGCGCCCGAGGTAACACTAGGGTTCACAGTTCACGTGGGGCCCAGTACTGCTTTTGGCTAGTATGCAGCAGGAACCTAAGCCACGCGTCCGTGAGGACAAGTACCGCCCACTGAAGTGCAGGTACTGAAGAGTTTGTTCCCTAAGTGGTGGCGATGTATCGTATGCTATCTATGTATCGTAGGGTATAGTAAGGGTGCGCACCACCCAACCTGTAGGAAGTGTAGAGTGAGTGTTGGTGTTTCGAGGAACACCGGCAGCTATGGGGAGTTTCGACCTAATGTCGCGACTTGAGGTCAAATGACAGGGGAAAACCTAAAAGCTGGGGGCGTCCAACTAGATCTCACCGAAGCGATGGTGAGCAATGCTCAAACCTAAGGCTAGGGACAAGTAAATGTATTGGTTAGTAGGGTAAGAAAGAATACAAATGAGGGCTTACTGACCTAGGGACAAGAGGTCGAAACTGAGGTCCCTAGGGCAGCAGAGGCCGGCTTATATACAGGGGGAGTTTAGGGGAGGCTGTGCGCACTGGTCCGTGCACAGCTGGTCCATGCGCAGCATGCTGACGCGGCCCCGGGGGCCGGTGAGTCAGAGAGGCTGTGTCAGCGGAGCCCGAGCTGTGCCGCGCACTGCCACCCCATCTAATCTAATCATACAGTAGATAACGACGCGTCCATATCTGGTATGTAGTACAAAGGTCGCGGGTTCGAG